ACTTTATAATCATTACAACATGTAGAGATTGAGGTGTTGACTTAAACACCGAGGCCGCGGGTTCAAATCCCACCATATGCAATCCTAACCATAGTACAAATTTCTGCACTTTAAAGCCCAATTTATATCGGGAAGAATTGTTACAGGCCGACCTTATACGCGTGCGTAAAAGCTAACTCAAATTCCAAGATTTGTCTTGCGTGACATTTCGATTTGACGTTTATGCTCAATTGGTAATTTGGCTCGACTATGAATTCAAATTTTTCTCGGCAAACTTCTGTAAATTTGACAGAAATGCAACTCTGACAAATCAGGCTCGCAAATTGATTTGGGCTTATCAAATGAGAAAAATTTGCGTGCGTGCGTAGAAAAAGTCTCGCCGGTAATATTAGGTTGAGCTGTTAATACCATTATCCTTCACTGAGAAAGAAAAAACCTGTTATAAGAATAACAATTTTTTATTTCATTACCGTTTAAAAATGTTCGTATTTAAATCAAGTGAAAAGTCTTAACTGTTCGTGCCCATATGGCAACTCTGTTTTGCTTTGTTATTCCAATGGAATAAGGGAAAATGGAATGTAAATAGTAGAAAAGGAAAATGTCATTAGTTAATATTCGCTTTTTATCTATCGTTGTAACCCGCTGTATAATTGAATAAACCGCTTTTAAAATCTAATATAATCCGCTTTTATATCCCCCGCTTTCGTGTAAACTGCATTTATTTGCGTACAATCGGAATTTTGTAATAATACGCTTTTTCGCTTTTGTACGCAACACTTAACAAAATGGATTTTTCCATTATACATACACCACGTACCAGGGATGAAAAATGGAAATTTCAGATTGTACCTAATATCATAAAATATATGTACCTAAATGAGACAGATTGTACCTAAAAAAAGTTACATAATTCATTTGTAGTTTTTTTTTATAAATTTTATTTAAAACATGACTACAAAAGATGGATGTACCTTAAACATGATTATGTTTTTTTTTTCAACTGAGCCTATTTATATAGACTATAGCCTAATGGGAATCGGAGAAGCGTTGTTTTTGTCTAACTTTGACTACTGAAAAATATGGGGAAAAAGACAAAAAACACGCTTTGCGAAGTATACTTCTTTATCCAGCAACAACACGAAAAGTCTGCTAATTTATCCGATTCCTTTTAATAGGTGCAACCAGTCTAGAGAAAATAATAAAATTGCCGTAAGTAACTTCGAAAGCATTTTAAATATATTTCCAGAAATCAAAAAGCGAATATGGGTCAATAATAATAACACTGTGGACCAAATTCAGGTTAGCAAAAGTTAGGTCGATTCTGAGAGTGAGGGGTGAAAATAGAGGCTAAATTAGAAGACCCGTATCGCGGCGTTTGTTCGAATTTTTTTTTTTAATCGACCTTCGAACTTTGCAGTCAAATCCCGATTTTCAGCATATTGTTTATATGGTTTTTTGGCTATAACTCGTCGACTAATTGATATTTTTTCAATCTGTTAAAGCCAAATTATTGCTAGAGACCTGTGCAAGAATTAAAATTTAAAAAACAAAATTGATTAAGAAAATTTTTGTAGTGCTTATGAAGCAAAATGTTGGAAATTTTTTTTCATGCTTTTTGAACATATTTTCCACAAAACTAAGTCTTTTTTGCTTTCTGTTTGATCTATAATATGCTTCTCAGTTTCTTCAATAAATTTCATTTGAAAAGAAAACAATCATAATGCAAAACTTGCGTTTTCCAGCTGAATATTAATTTACTTCTCATTTCTTTGAAGAAGAGGAAGACGAGGAAAAAGAGGAAGAAGGGGAAGACAAAGATGAAATTCCAGAATATCTGTTGGACGAAATTATCGACCTTTCTGATGATGATGACGATGACCAAGATATTAGAGAGAGCAGTGATGTTGATCCACAGCCGCCTGCTAAACGGCAACTGGCCAAATCATTAATTAAATTTACACACCAATTTTCAGATTTTTATCTTAAGCGTGTGATTTTCGCGACTGAGAGGGTTAATTTCAAGTATTTTCCAAAGAAGTGGAAGCATTCAAACGTAAAAATTTGGTTTCTTTCATTTTTCAACATAAATAAATAAAAAACTAGAGCTTTTTTAAAAAATCGCCATGGATAGATCGACGCTAATATTAATTATCTCATATTCAAAAAAAGCTAATTTGGAATCGCTTCATATTTGGGCTCTCAAAATTCATTTGTCCACAGCAACCTTTTTTGCCCCACTGTGCGGTGTTGCAATGATCCAAAAGTAGAAGGCTGCTAAGTAAAGATTGATGATACCATAAATAATGTAACTGAGACCTATTTTCTGGCATCGACCGTATAAAGTTTTCAAACGAAGATTTGGAATTATTAGGGAGGAAAAGTGATTTACTTATTGTTGACTTAACGAAAATTGGGCTGTCCATATGCATGTATACCGGGGCAATTTATAAAAAATATTTTACTTTGATACTTTGAAGGGTATTCCAAATCAGCGAGGAACGCATATAGACGGGGAGCTTATGTATAAGCGTGAACTAATGTATTAGGCCAACTTGCAGAACATCCAGAGTTAAATATATAATAAATAGAGAGTTAAGTAGCTCAGAGTTAAATGTTTATGACTAAACCAGACAATGTCTTGCTGCATTGAAAACAAGCTCAGAGGTTAGTAACTCGAGGGATTTCTAAATTAAGTAGGCACCACCCTCTCTTTTTTTGACGGTTGTTTACATTTGTTATTTGAATTTGAATATAAAATTTCATTTAGGTAAAAACTGGAAATTGGCCAGCGACACTTCTGAGAGTTCTCTTAATTGGATGTACCACTAACACGGTTGGTGCATTTTAATCGCAAATTTCAATTTTTCTTCTTATTACGGACAGAATTGACATACATACAGTTACTACCAAAATTAGGCGCACGGCTCTTTTTTGTTAATATTCGCAATGTTTTACATGCTAAAATCTTTTTGTTAATTTTGTATTAAATTATGTCTTATATTTTAGCAAACCCCATTTAAATCCAAGAATGAAACAGTGTACGAAAATTAAGAAAAAACTGCAAAGTTTCAGCAAAATCGCGATCTTTTTAATACGAATTACTAAATAGAATTCAGGTATGCAGTTTTATAGCCCATTAAATTTTAATATAATAATGTGCGAATTTCAAATGTCTAAAAATTCGCGTTGATTTTAGAGAAATTTTTGCTAAATATCCTTCGCATTTTTTTCATGTAACGATATACGATATTATTAATTAAGAAAAAAAAATTGTCCTATGTTTCGTCTGATGGTAATTGAACCCTGACCCAGCCAGCAACCAATTGTATCAAACTCTTGGCACACTCAGCTGCAGCCATACATGTAAACGTGTTTTCAAATGTTGAATTTGAATCAACATCACAGCGGGCGATTAGTGCATTGTGTGTATATGTTGTCACCGCTGTGCATGCTTTGTATACATATATTTTCTTAATTACATATGAAAAAGCATCTGAGACGTGCAAAACGATATCCGTGCAGTGAAAATGCTTAATTTTAATACAGGCGTATTTGAATTGAATAATTCCATTATACGTAGTGTATGTATAATGGAAATATTCACTTTTTACTTGATTTAAATAAGAAAATTTTTAAACGGTAACCAAATAAAAAATTTTCATTTTTACAAGGCGTTTTTTTCTCAGTGTATAGTTCTCTAAGTTTCTAAGCAAAGTTGGCTTTTTGGGTAACTACATACACGCGCTGCTCATTTTCCAGATATACAATTTTCAAGTCAAGTCAAGTCTACATCTTTCATGATTGAGCTTTTAGCAAGTAAACCTTCGAAAATTGCTGGGCTAATTATTTAACGATTTAACTCTAATTTAACTCCTAACTACATTGGTTGTGCAAGCCAATTTATCAATTTAACCGGTAAACTTCGAGTTATATATATAGCCTGCTGTTCTGCAAGTGGGTCTTAAAGCTCAGCTAGTCTAGACTTAACTTAATTCAACTTACTGTAAGAAATCATTAATGATTACTCAACACGTCAACTTAAGCCAGAAGCGGAAATATTTTGTTTTTGTGTTTTCTATTTCAGCTGTTCCGCCTAAAATGCCACACTGAGGGAACAAAATTTTAGAATCAAAAAAACGTGTTAAATTTAAAATATACGCATATAAAAGAGCACCAACCCAACTCGTTATAAATTTTAGTATGTGCGTTATAAAATATGTCGTTGTGAAGTCATATGTGCACTTTTTCGTAATTAAGAAGGAAAAAATAATAATTTTATGTTCCGTCTGATGGTAATTGAAACCGGACCCTCTTGGCAGCAACAAATTGTAGAAGCGCCTTTGCACACTCACCTACAGCCATACATGTTAACGTGTTTTCATATGTTGAGCTTGATGCTTCGTATTAGAGATGGGCACCCCCTGCGTAAGCCCGCGGGTACGGGCCGGAATATTTGCTGTCAGCACGAACTCGTGCGGGCCTGGGCGTTCAGTAAAATTTCATAAAAGCACGAAAAGGCAAGAAAAAGCACGTTGCTAATACTAAAAATTTAGATGAGCTTTTGTTTTTATACAAAAAAATAGTGCATATTTAAAACTCTTTTGATAAGAGAAAAGCAAAGAAAAGAAATATTTGGAAACTGATAGAAAATATATGATATTTAATAGTTTTGTTTACATACATATCTGTACATAAAATACCTTCCACTTCTTAAAATATTGATTCGCTTAAGTAAATATACATATGGACATAAACACAAAATTAAAAATAAAAACATATCGAGCCC